CTTTAATTCAAACACAAAAATAAATGTGGTGTCAAATTTACAACTGGCACCAAAATATGGCGGTCACATCAAAAACTGGCTTCACTTTTCGAAGGTTTATTAAATGAGGATTACCTGTCCTCTGATTTTTCAATGGTTGTGTGGATTTGTGGTCTTAGCATTTCTTCATATAGTTAATCTATGCATGATAGAAGGCAAAACGATCTATACTCCTCTTTCTGTTTTGGAAGCCTTAAGATCTTATTATATCTTAACTAGGAGACAGCTAGAAAGATTGGGATGGTGCATGTCCCAGTAAAAGAGATAATAAAGGTGTTAAGATGCTATACATGCCATACACTATTTTAATATTTTGTAGATTTTAATATTTTCTTATTTAATTGTTTAATTTGATCATCAATAATTTTTTACAGTTGGTTTTGATTTTAGGTTTTGTGGAGAAGAATACAATGAAAATGTTACAATGTTTGCCTGCACTTACATGTAATAAGGAACAAAATATTAAGTCCTATTCATATCATCAATGCAAAATTTGTTTTGAATCATTTTCTCAGTCAGCAAGTCTAAACAAACATATGACACTACATACTGGTGAAAAATCTTATCAGTGTAAAACATGTTTGAAATCATTTTTCCAATCCAGCAATCTAAAGAGACATATGAGAGTGCACACTGAAAAAACTGTGAGTAAAAAAACTTATCAATGCAAAATTTGTTTTGAATCATTTTCTCAGTCAGCAAGTCTAAACAAACATATGACACTACATACTGGTGAAAAATATTATCAGTGTAAAACATGTTTGAAGTTATTTACCCAATCCAGCAATCTAAAGAGACATATGAGAGTGCACACTGGTGAAAAAACTTATCAATGTGAAATTTGTTTTATATCATTTGCACAATTAAATACTTTAAAGGATCATACAAGAATACATACTGGTGAGAAACCCTATCAGTGTGGAATTTGTTCAAAGTCGTTCACTGTAAAATGTGCATTGAAATCACATATTACAACGCACACTGGGGAGAAAGCTTATCAATGTGAAATTTGTTTGAAGTCATTAACTACAAGAAGTGCTTTAAAATTACACACTAGAACACACACTGGGGAAACACCTTATCAATGTAATAATTGTTTAAAATCATTTTCAAGGTCAGATTATCTAAAAAACCATATTAGTAAATTGCATTACTGGTGAGAAACTTTGTTAGTGTGAAATTTGTTTTAAGGGGTTTTTTGAAAAAATATAATTTCCTTATTGACTATATTAATGAAGCTTCTAAACAATCAATTTTCCAATATAAATCATTTAAATGTAAACTTAGGGTTCTGTTTCCAGTAGAACATTGGCCATTAAATACTTTTGCCCTTAATGTAACGTAAATCTTCTAATGTAAAATTTATTCCTAGCAGGAGTTTTTACTTATTTCAGATCGTAGCATTACAAGAATTAAAGCAATTAATAAAGTCATATAAAGGCAGTATAGAAATAATATAATTCTATAGATTGTCTCAAAGTGACTAGTCTGTACAGGGTAAATGTACAACATCGATGCCATACTTCTTTGCAAACTTGTATTAAAATAAACGTCATTTCTTAATACTTAGCCTAGTCCATCTTTTGTGTTGAGGGTAGCTTAAGTACTAATACCCACTAACGACCCTGCCTGGCTTCCTTCTGTCAGTAGTTCTCAAACATAAATAATATTTGCTACAAAAAACTTGGGTTAAATTAAAATAAAATAGAAATTAAGAAATGCCTTTTATTTATGTCACACAAGAAGTTTGTTTTTAATTCTACAGTATGTGCTAGCGATACAAACCATTTCTTTATAGACTCAAATAAAATAAAACTAAAATATAAAGAAATATTTTATTTATGTATTCTTCCGTTCAAAAGTTAAGGGGGGAAGGACTTTTAAAAACCACACTGTATATGTTGGCAGTAACAAAACATAGAAATATCCGAAAATAAAACTAATAAATAAGTTGAAAATAAAAGAAGTCATTGTATTTAATTTCGTGTGTAAGTAATTGCAATTGTACACCATTATATTGAGTTCCTTTTTCTGTCAATCAGCTTAACCTCATCATTATTATCGCCACTGTCATTATTATCTCCGTTATTTATTTTTATAATAATTGGTTCGATATCATCCAACAATTTGTCAATTTCCCACATTTTTTTCACTTCACTCCAAACCATTTCGATGGGATTGAGTTCACTGTGATAGGATGGGATCCTCAGAATCTTCACATTGTGCTTTTTGACAATATCTTCTATTATGTAGGTACCTGTCATATTTTGCTTTGAAGGCCTTGACTACATCAAGTAACTCGCATTTTTGGTAGTCTTCTTAAAAAATAGGTCCTTTTGACAGAAGCCATTCTTGATTTTTTTTTTTAGTGTTGAACTGTTGGGAATTTGTTCTGACTTTCTGCTGTGATAGGAGAGGACAACGTTTTTCTGGCAAATTTAGCATTAAGTTATTTTCGAACCAATTTTCGAAGGTCGGTCCATCCATTTCGTCGTGGTAGTCCTGTGTATTTTTGTTTGCCAAAAAAGTGAGCTCTGCTCCATCAATAAATCCACTGGTAGATCCTGCGTGTAATAAAACGAACCGTGCACCACAAGCTGCTGGAGCTTTTAATCCTGTTGTCAGACCACGAACAAAATCATCGCGATGAGATGTAATTGTTTTATCAACCCATTCTTTTTTCACACTGTGCCCGATATTTACCCATAATTCATCCAAATACACTATGTTGTATCACTCTACATGGTATTTACGAATTGCCCATAAATAACGATGACGCCACTACATGATTTCTGGTTTTTCAATCAAAATTGAATTTCTGCCACGTTTTATAAGCGGATGACGTACAACGGTAAGTAAATTAGATGAAGTATAGCTAACTTCACCGGCACTTTCTCTATAATTTTGCTGAAACCAGGAATTATGCAGAATTGTACAAAAATAAATTACCACATATTTATGAATTCCCGTACACAAATTTGATAAAAATAGCAAGAATCATAATTCCTAAATTATTATCTGGCAACTAGCGTTTTGAAGGTTTTGACAGTATTGCCAAGTTTATCCGCTAATCTAGCAAAGGCCAATTATATTTTTTTTCTAATAAGTAACTGCAACTAATATCGAAAGAAACAAATATTCATTAGTTGGTGTTTTATAAATATTTAGGACGATTTTCACATTTGGTCCCATTGAAGATAGCTTCAAATGGGTTTGACAGAATGAAATATTGGTGTTTCGCAGTGTTGAAATTTACATTACAAACGAAACATACGCATTTAAAAGCAATAAGATATCTAAAAACTAATATTTAACGATTAAGAAAAAGCAAATAGTTTTAAAACAGTTTTTAACAGTAAATAATAAAATGTCAGTAATAATAAAATTTAAAAGGCATCTGTTGCAATCTGGCAGCGGGTGGTTAGAGGGTTCTGACTCTATTGCCAAATCTATCCGCTAACCTACCAGAGGGCAATTGCCAAAAAAATTTTCTGATAATTTATTACAACTAATATCAAACGAAACAAATATTACTTCATTAATATTTTATATAAGGTATAAAATTGCAGAATCCATAAAATAATATGATAAAAATGTACCTTTTAAAAGCTTTATCTCTTTGTATTTGAAGCATATAACCAATGACGTATAATATATAGACTACGCAGTCCCCTATTCTCGCTATAGAATCAAGTGTCCGAAAGATCTCGGCTCGGCTCAAGATTGAAGGTATGTTTATCACAACAGCGGCGTGCTCATTTATATGTTAATGACAATAATTATTTTTTTAATTAAAATTAAATATTTATGATTTCTTTTTGTTCCCGTCTATAAGAGAAATAATTATTTTGATAAAATAGTATGGCATTTTACTAAAATAGTAAGTAAATAACTATCAACAATTTAAAATAAAATTTGCTTGTCACACAAAATGGAGTACGTCCATGATGTTTTCAAACACAAGATCAACTTCGTGATGCTTCGTAAGAAATCATGAACTTCGTGCATCTTCGTATCAAAACAATAAACAATAACAAAGGTATTCATGTTTTGGACACTTTTTAAAGCGTTCACCGAGTCTATATATTATACGTCATTGCATATAACATATACATTATAATAACATGGCAACACTGCCAACCCAATATTTCGTTCTGTGAAACTTAATTGAGAGCTAATTTGAGGCTATCTTCAATGGGACCAAATGTAAAAATCGTCCAGATATTTATTTTTTTTTAAATACCAGATTCCATAAAATAATATAATAAAAATTTACTGTTTCAAAGCATATTTGAGGCATAAAACATATACATAATAAGGACATGGCAATACCGCAAACGCAAATTTGACGTTTCATTTGTAACTAACTTTAACCGGATTTTTATTCTAACTCGATGGGATTTTTCTATCTATTAAATTTAAATAAACAAGAACAGTAAAAATATTTTTTTCTTTCGAAATTTGCACAATATGGCAACTGGTGCTTTGAGGATTGCCAAGTCTATCAGTTTTAATCTATCAAAGGGAAATTGCCAACAAAATTTCTAATAATTAACTGCAATCAATCTCGAAACAAACAAATATTTACTAGTTCTTGTTTTATATAACTTAAAAAACTGTAGAATTCATAAAATAATATAACCAAAATGTACTTTTTAAAATATTTCTCTTTGTATTTGACGCATACAACCAAAATTCATTGATACAACAAATTCATTATAAAAATAAAAACAAGAAACATGCCAACACTGCCAAACCCAAATATTTTGTTTTTTGGTTGACATTTGCGGCTATATTTTGGTTGCCTTATCCATAGATAAATAATATGCCTTATCGTTAATTAATGTTGTTCATAAAAATTTATTAAGGATTTTAATAATAGATTAAGTGCAAGTGCAATAATCGTAAAGTTAACACCAAAGAATATAAAGGCATATGCGTCTATATTTTTTGTTAATACAATGGAACTAAAACAAGAACAAAACAAAACAACACTCTCTAAAGAAGAATGTAAGATGGAAATACAAAATATTGGTTTGTCTCATGTTGTACTTCCTTGCTCTGTTAAAACTGACTTGAAGAAGGAAGAATTCGTTATTACAGAATCACTTCTTACTGATTCCAGTAACTATTTTGTCAGTGGCAATCCTTCAGGTCAATTAAACATCGAAATTAACAATGAAAAAATCAAACTAGAGGAGGTGGATAAAGCTGAAACAGTAGGTGCTGAAAATGGTAGGTTTGGATTTCTATAAACATTTCGTGACACTCCTTTTTCATCTTGTTAGTCAGTTTTGAATTTTAATAGAATATTGGACTTCAGAATCCTAGTAACTACATTCTACTTTATACTCTACCAGTATACATTTTAGATAGATGAGTAAGTTTTCAATTGTGTCCATATTACCAGATGTTGCATTGCATTTGTAATGATTAGTCGTTCTGTATATTTTTTTTAATTTATTTATTAGATATTGAAATTAAATATGATATAAAGAAAGAAGCAGGGAAATATGGTCAAAGCCATGAAGCTAGTCAATTATCTACATCAATCACCCTTGAGGACCTTAAGGAAGAACAAAAAGAAGATTATTCAGGTAAAAGGAACAAAAAATTATAAATACTACTTAATAGCTAAATGTTTAGTTTTAACATTTACATGATTTTGACACTTTAAGTATATTGAAAATTTGTAGAAACTAAAATCTAGTTCTAATAGGAATCTTAGTTGTAAAGCAGAATCAATAATTATTAATTTGTGGCTTTATATTTCTGGTGGTCTGTAGGTAATATTGAGTGTCTCACTTGCCCTCCTGCATTTATATAAAATAATTAATCTTTGGGTTTCAGATATCACTACTCCAACACATTCTCTCACATAAAGCCCTTATTACTTCTTTTCATGTTAGGAATCATTGATTGAATATTCAAATTTCAAATTCAAACCACACAAAAAATTTTAATTTTAGTGAATAATCAGCAACTCTAGTGGTTATTTCGGGAAACAACTAGATATTTATTTGCTCTCTCATGAGAGCAATCATAGAAAGACATGACATTACTTCCCCTACCACTTCCACCACAATGTATTTAACTGTTGATTGAATATTCAAATTATCCGAACATTCAAATATTATTAAAAAAAAGTAGATGTTATGGAATTTTTTTATTACAGGCTTATTAAAATTCCATCTCATCGAGACTAAAAAAATATAGTAATTGGTATTGATTTTTTGGTATTATATGGTTAAACACTTTCTGTAAAATAATTTGATTTTAATAATAAATCAAAACAACGACTAATTACTCAGAAACTGGAAATAAGAGATTAATGATCTGTTAAAACCAGTAAGTGATAAAGTAGGAGGGCAATATTTATGTAGAGAATGCAGAGAAAGTGTCGAAAAGGGAAGAAATCTTTGTACTTGACTGTACTGTAGTTTTCTTACTTGAATATAGATGGCTACACTGTTTTGAGAAAAAACAATTGGCTATGTTAATTTGTATAAGCCTGCGGATCTATTCAAATATTTACCAACATAGTAATTGGAAGGATTACAGATGCCAAAAAGAATTATAATTGCATACTTCTGGTTACCTTCACCTTGCACAACTCACAAAAGACTTTTATCACTGTATCTATAGCGCCCTTTTCTTTCTGAAAGTGTAATGCAAGGGGAACAGATCCACTAACTCTTCAATGATTGTGTTGATTTATGCTTTTAGCATTATGTATGCATTGATCTATGCATGGCAGAAGGTAAACTTTCCTTGCCCTTTTGAGAGTAGTACAAAGCTCAAGATCTTATTATATCTTAGCTAAGAGACTGCTAGAGGTATTAAGTATAAATATTGGGACGGTGCATGTCCTAGTGAAAGAAATACTGAATGTGATAAGATGCTATACATGCCATATGGCTAATAATTGGAAATAGAGAAGCAACAGTAGTGTGCTGGAAGTGCGGGACTGTTATTATATCAATTAGTGATTTTAATATTTTCTTATTTAATTTTTCATTTGATCATCAACATTTTTTATAGTTTGTTTTTATTTTAGGTTTTGTGGAGATGAATACAATGAAAATAATAAAATCTTTGCCAGCACGTATATGTTATAAAAAACAACAATGTGAAATTTGTTTTAAGTCATTTGCTAGATCAGATACTCTGACGAATCATATGAGATTGCATACTGGTGAGAAACCTTATCAATGTCAAATTTGTTTTCAATTGTTTACTAGCTCACGATATATAAAGAGACATATGAGACTGCATACTGGTGAAAAACCTTATCAGTGTAAAACATGTTTAAAATCATTTTCTCAAATATGTAATCTAAACAGACATATGAAAGTGCACACTGGCGAGAAACCTTATCAATGTGAAATTTGTTTTAAATCATTTTCACAATTATTTACTTTAAAGGAACATACAAGAATTCATACTGGTGAGAAACCCTATCAGTGTGAAATTTGTTCAAAGTCTTTTACTGTAAAAAGTTCATTGAAATCACATACTACAACGCACACTGGGGAGAAACCTTATCAATGTAAAAATTGTTTTGAATCATTTTCAAGATCAGATACTCGAAGAAGCCATATTAGGAAATTTCATACGGGTGACAAACCTTATTAGTGTGAAATTTTTTTAAGGGGTTTTTTGAAAAAAATTATTTGAAAAAACATATGAGAATGCACACTGCAGAAAAAACGTCGTTTTCTTAGGGTTCTGTTTCAAGTAGAACATTGGCCATTAAATACTTTTGTTCTTAATGTAACGTAAATCTTCAAATGTAAAATTTATTTCTAGCAGGAGCTTTTGCTCATTTCAGATCGTATCATTACGAGAATTGAAGCAATTAGGGCAATATAGTCATATACAGGGCAATATAGAAATAATAGAATGCTCGGTACTGGATTTTAAGAAACTTAGATCATCAATTGTCAAATTCAGGTCAATATCCAATAGACTTAGCGTTGTTATCGTAAAGGGAAACTTCTAAAAATTTTCATGTGTAGATATATAATGCATCTTCGGAAGGAATCGAAATAGTATAACTTACTGGACTAATCCAGTTAAGTAAGTATACAAACTTAACTTAACTGATTTTCCATTATTTTATTTATAATATTCATGGAATTTTCGTTTTTATCTTATTTTCGTCAGAGTAAATAAAGTTTGTGTTTTACCCATTATTGCTTTTTATTTCAATCTGAAAATTATAATAATAGTAAGAGAAACGCAAGTTTCCACAAAACAATGACGAATTACTCAGAAACCGGAAACAAGAGATTAACGTTCTGTTAAAACCACTGTTATTGTTGTTTATTGAAGTGATAAAGTGGGAGGGCAATATTTATGTAGAGAATCCAGGGAAAGTGTTGAAAAGGGAATACATCTTTAAGCTTGACCATAGTGTAGTTTTCTTGCTCAAATATAGATGGCTACACTGTTTTGAAAAAAGAAAATTAGCTATGTTAATTTGTATAGGAATACGGATCTATTCGGATATTCAACCAATGTAGTAATTGGAAGCATCACAGATGTCATAAAGCATTATAATTGTCTACTTCTGGTGACCTCCACCGTGCACAACTCCCAAAAGACTTATCACTGCATCTATAGTGTCAATTTTCTTTCTGAATCTGTATTGCAAGAGGAACAGATCCACTGACTCTTCAATGATTGCATGATGATATGCATGGCAGAAGGTAAACTTTCCTTGCCCTTTTGAGAGTAGTACAAACCTCAAGATCTTATATGTTAGCTACGAGACTGCTAGAGGTATTAAGTATAAAAATAGGAATGGTGCATGTCCTAGTGAATGAGATACTGAATGTGATAAGATGTTATACATGCCATATAGCTAATATTTTCTTATTTAATTTTTCATTAAGTTTGATCATCAACAATTGTTAATAGTTGGTTTTTGTTTTAGGTTTTGTGGAGATGAATACAATGAAAATAATAAAATCTTTGCCAGCACGTACATGTAATAAAGAACAACAATGTGAAATTTGTTTTAGGTCATTTTCTAGATCAGATACTCTGACAAATCATATGAGATTGCATACTGGTGAGAAACCTTATCAATGTCAAATTTGTTTTCAATTATTTACTAGGTCACAATATATGAAGAGACATATGAGACTGCATACTGGTGAAAAACCTTATCAGTGTAAAACATGTTTGAAATCATTTTCCCAAATATGTAATCTTAACAGACATATGAGACTGCACACTGGTGAAAAAACTTATAAGTGTGAAATTTGTTTTAAATCATTTTCGCAATTAATTACTGTAAAGGAACATACAAGAATTCATACTGGTGAGAAACCCTATCAGTGTGAAATTTGTTCGAAGACTTTTACTGTAAAAAGTTCATTGAAATCACATACTAGAATGCACACTGGGGAGAAACCCTATCAATGTGATATTTGTTTGAAGCTGTTTGCTGCAATAAGTGCTTTAACATCACATACCAGAACACACACTGGAGAAAAACCTTATCAATGTAAAAAATGTCTTAAATCATTTCCAAGACCACGAAATCTAAAAAACCATATAAGATTGCATACTGGTGAGAAACCTTATCAGTGTGAAATTTGTTTTAAGGGGTTTCCTGAAAAAAATAGTTTGAAAAGACATACGATAATTCACACTAAAGAAAAATCGTCGTCTTAGAGTTCTCTGTCCAGTAGAACATTGGCCATTATATACATTTGACCTTAATGTAACGTTATCTTCGAATGTAAAATTTATTCCTACCGAGAGCTTATGCTTAATTCAGACCGTAGCATTACAAGAATCGAAGCAGTTAGAACAATATAGTCAGGAAATAGAAGATGACTTATTCGTTAATGGAGGAGGAAATAATAAAATGTTACGTACTGGCTTTTTAATACGTAGGAAACTTAGTCAATTGTCGAATTCAGGTCAATATCCCATACGACTTTGCGTTTGTAGAGTAAAGCAAAAATTTTCAAAATTTCATTTATAAAGTTATATGCGCCTTTGGAAGAAAAATAAATAGAGGCAAAGGAGAAGTTTTATCCCCAAGTCTGATGTCAAAATAGTTCTTGGTGATGCTGTTGTAAAAATAACAATTTGAAGTTGATTTGTAGTTGAGAAAAAATTGTAAAGGCTTTATGTGTAATAGAATATAATAACAAAATGGGGGCTATTGAAAAAGCAGATATACAAATAAGCTTTTTTGCATGTGCCAGAAAATTTCTTAAACGGGACCAAATGCTTTTCTTGATGGATGTGGCACCGTATAACCCTTATGTACTTTTCCAAGTTGTAACTAAAACGAAACCATCATTTTCGTATTTTCATTTGAAGGTTGTGACTCAACTCATAGAGAAATTTGGCATAGTAGAAAAAAAAATGACAAAACCACTGACAGTGGACAATCCACTTAAAACTTTAAGAAAGCCATTTTTTGAGTCCAATTTTACATCCTTCCGCCGAAGGTACCCGGACCCAAAGGAGATGCCATGTATGCAGTACGACGAAGCTGAGAAAACGACAAAGAAAAGATCTGCGGTTTATGTGCAAAGAATTTAATGTACCTATCCCTGCTTTGGAGAGTATCACACATAAAGAAATTTTAGCCAATATAAATATTATATTACATTACTTCTCTGATACACTTCATTGCAATAAATATTGTTTTAAATTTTTGAATAAATGTTTAGTTATTTACAATGTATTGTTTTTCTTTTCCTTATTCGGCTAATGACCCAGCCTAATACCCCGGTAGTTTCACCTCCGGATAATTAGTTATCGCAAAGTTTATCTGACAGATTAGTATGTAATCTGTCAGATAAGCTTTCCGATAACTATCTATACGAAGGTGAAAGGACCGGGCCTTAGAAAAATAGCGGTATTCAGAAAGTACGGCGCTAGGGTGGGTGATGTGCTGCCGTTTATGTACGGCATCAGTATAGTGTATTTGCGACTCTTAACGTACAAGAAATATAAAGAAAAGCAAGCAGAAGTACGAAGGAAAATCTCTAAGAAGAAGAACGAGTCATTGGAAAGAAACTGCCAACGAATAAATATGTATCTAGGAGGAACCAGAATCACAGAAAGGTGGAAACTGATAAAAAAATTGAGAAAAGAAAAGAATAAAGGAGTAATACCTACAGAGCATAAAACCTGAAAACTGAGAAGAGTATTTATAACTTTTGTTACAGAATAGAGTCGAATTTCAAGAACATATAAATCAAAACCAAGATAGAATTTCAATAGTCGGCTCGACAATAAGATTGACAACAGAGGAAATTAAAAATGTATGTAAACAGCTGAAGAGGAACAAACCATCCGGACCAGGGGAGAATTGTTTGTTGAATACAAGCGAAATCTCTACGGAATTGAAGATAAATCTCAGTACTATACATAAAAGGGTGAAAATTACCGAGGAATAGCTGTAGCCGGATCTATGAGTCGAATATATGGAAAGGTTTTAAAACATTGAATCGAGAGAGAATACTTATATTATGAAGCAGAACAAGCAGGATTTCGTACGGGTCGATCCACTATTGATCACATTTTCTTCTTATCCCAGATAATAGAAAAAAAAATGGCACGGAATCAAGAGAATCATGTTGTTCGTCGACCTACGGAAAGTCTACGACAGCATTCCACTGAAGAAGCTGTGACAATCAATGGAAAGCACGAATATTAATTTAGAATTAATAAAAGCCATCAAAGTGCTATACAACAAACTAATAACACAAATAACAGGATTTATAACATCAAAAGGCTTAAAGCGAGGAAGTTGTTTGTTCTCCACTGTATACCCCTCACCAACACTATGGTAGGACGATCAACTAATACTGGCTCAAGATTATGACGAAATAAACTACATGCACGAAAATTAATTGAAAAGTATGATATATGGGGTCTAGAAGTAAATAAAAAGAAAAACGAATACCTGCGCATTGGAGCAGAACAAAAAGATCTCATATTAGACGATAACACCACGATAAAGCACTGCTGTGCCTACAAATATCTAGGTATCCCTATTTCACAAGATGGAACATTATACAAAAGCCATAAGAGTGAGAAATACGTCAGGGAGAAAAGCCATCACAATGTTGAAACAGCATTTTATGGGACCAATCCATCAGCAAAGAAAATAAAAAGAGGATATATGAGACTATAGTAAAACGTATCATTTTATACAGCTGGTGAGGTATGGCCACTGAAAGAAAGAACACTGGCAACGCTGAAAGCGACGGAAATGAATTTTTGGAGAAGAACCGCAGAAAGATCTGGAAGAGCAAGGATTACCAACGAACGCATTAGAGAAATAATCGGAATCAAACGAACAATCACAGATCACCTAACAATAAAACAACTTATCTGGTTCGGGCACATACAAAGAATTGATGAATAACGAATACCAAAAGGAATATTAAAATGGTAACCAGAAGGAAAGAGAAAACGAGGTAGACCGAGAAAAAGTTGGAGCGAAGGAATAAATAAAGAACTGGGAGAGAGGGCCATAGAAGAAGACCTATGGAACAACCGGACTAAGTGGCGATTGGAAGTCTGAGAACGTTATAAACCGACAAGTAGTAGTAACGTACATGAACGATACTAGTAAGCAAGATGGACAATGTAGAACGTACTATTACGATTATAGCTCTTCAAAGATGTAGATGCTTAAAAATGTACGGTGACAGAACCTGAACGATGGAGATTAATTTGCGTAATAGTACGGCGCTCGCTCAACAAAGCTGCAAATGAAAATCGTACTTTTATCTGCAACAGTATCGAAAGGGTTAAAATAACACACTGGAGGAAACACCTTATCAATATAAAAATTGTTTTAACATGCATGCTAATCACGTCTATGAGCGTCAAGATATCGCTTCAGTCATATGCTTATGACGCACATGTGAATTCTGGACTGGTTAAAGCGTTATATGGAAATGCAGGTAGGAATGAAAATATACAGGAGGAGCCAAATTTAAGTCAGGGTTCGTGGAAAGATGATCCTTGGAATGCAAAATTTTAATTTTACCAAATCTTCTGGGTTGTTTGTAGATGTTCCAGATCTGGTCTTCCATAGGATTTTTTTCCTTGTAGAAGATATTTTTTTCTTGAGATGATAGTGCAGGAAAATAATGTTTATGCCGAATCGTTATTTTTATTTGCTGTTACAGAATATTCACGTATAAATCAATGGAAGCCTGTGTCTGTTAACGAACTTAAAACATTTTTTGGACTTAAATTGCATATGGGAATATGGAAAACCAATAGAATCCAGAACTACTGGAATACCGATCCTATTATTCAATTGAAATGTTTCCATAATAATATGAGCCGAGATCGTTACTTGCTTATTTTGAGATGTCTACATTCTGCCAGAAATCCAGAAGAGGGTATAATAGAAGATAAACTCTATAAAATTAACTTTATAGAGATAATCATTTTTAAAATACTTCAATAATATGATGGCTGAAATATATCAACCAGGAAAAATCTATCCCTTAATGAAAATATGGTATTATGGCGTGGTAGATTATATTTTCGAATATATATGAAAAGCAAACGTCACAAATACGGACTTAAATTTTGTATGTGGTAGCAGAACCCAACGGCTTAGCGCTTTGTATAAAATTATATAGAGGACGTTATATGAATCTGCAGGTGGAAAAGGCCACTGAAAAAGTAGTTTTAGAATCAATGCGAGATAAACTTAACGTTGGGCATTCACTTTTTATAAATAATATTTATGGAAGTGTTGATTTAGCAAACACGCTTTTATAAAACAATACCTTCTGGGCATGAACTTTAATTTACAAGAGAAAAGCTAACCCTAAAAAAGTTTTAGAAGCTAAACTAGCACAAGGACAGACAGTAGGGCAATACAAAGCATTTGTAAAATAAATAAAGAGATAAAAGAGAAGTTATGTACATATCCACGAAATTTAAAAATGATCTATATCCAAATATAATGAGTTTATGAGTGGTATTGATCGGAAAGATCAAATGCTCGAATTTTCCAGCGTTTTTTGACTTTTCAGGGGATTCAAAATTATCCAATTGTAAGAATTTGGTTGAGTTACCGCAGTTAAAAAACAATGAAGATTCTAGAATCAAAAATATTGCAAAATTTTCAGCGCGCTCCAACTTGAAGTACCTGATCAAATACGACCTGCTCGAATAACCCAAATAAAAACAACAACAAAATTCCTTGAAATACAATAAAAAATAATTAATGTTTTAATCAAACAATAACATAACTTTAAAATATGAATACTTTGGTATTCCTACCTCACAAATTCACGGACAACAAATAATACCAATCATAGAATGAATGTTCATATCCAAAAGTCCTTATATTTATTCATCAAACAATTAAAAAAAAAACAATATTTCCAACTTCTTATGGGACAAGTGACGCCAGAGCTTAGGCAGTTCATTCTCCATTGTAATTGTTAGGAGGAACCTAACCTAACCACATTTCCAGTTTCTTTTGATATAATAATAAGTATACAGTAATAACAATATTCAAATATTAATAGAGTGCAATTATTTTAGAAACAATCCAATGGAAGTAAAACAGGAACAAAGTGATTTTTCGGAAGAATACGTGATCCAACAAGATAATATTGAATTCTCTCTTATTGGATTTCCTTATTCCATTAAAAATGAGATATCAGAAGATTTATTTAAGGCAGATTTACCTAATACAAATAATGATTTTGATGACAGCAACACTTTCGACAAAGTATGCATGGAAGTTGGTGTTGAAGACATCAAATTACAGGAGCTGGATAAGCCTGAAAAATTTATAATTATTAAAAATGGTATGCTTCATACATTTATTTATTTTGATTACCTATACTACCTGTACTTTGATGAACTATACCTATTTTGTAGTCATTAAGCCATAATGATTTTAAACTAAAGAGTTACTGACTGATAACAATCAGGTTTTTAAGTGAAATAACAAAATCATCTCAAGAACAACTAATTTTACTTGATAGAGGGCCAATAAAAATTACTCTAATTGTTACGTTATTTAACTGAAGTGACAACTAAATTATACCTCATTACTTAAGTATGTCCTTGTTACAAAATATTTTGTTTAATTGGTTATATTGAAAAATGTTTTCCAACATTTTTATTTCATTTATTTGTTAGGTGTTGTAATAAAAGATTAAATTAACGAAGATTTTAATCAATATGGACAAATACATAAAGAGAATCAATTTGTTTTTGAAAATGTTAAGGTTGAACCATTAGCAGGATATTATTCAGGTAAGATAAATAAAAAGTACTTAAAAAATGTGATTTGTTTAATATTATAGTTTGTCTAGTTTATCATGACCACATTCTACAGTCAATGTTCGTCCACTACCGGATATTTATTTCTACTCTTAGCAATTCTCATTCACAATGTTTGTTATCATCTGTCCACCTCTCCTGTTCTCTCTTGATGTTAAACATCAGTCATTTTTGTTATAGGTATCTCAAATGTTGGTATTCTGAATCCTATATCTCAATTCCATTGCTCTTTGACTTGTTCTAAAGCTTTCTTTGTAGACTCATAATCATGGTCTTAAGTCTCTATGTAGTCCTAGTACAGTTTACAGTTTAGAGACATCGGTACATCTTGCTTTTATCGCTTTTGGGTACATCGGTACCCAAGATAATTATATGCATTTTTAAATTTCGGCTATTTGATTTTCGTTACCAATTTTAAACCTTTCGGCATTTGGGTGGCATTTGCCACCATCAAGATTTTTAGTGGATTTGCAATCTTTCTACCTAAGATGGTGCACTCAAATAAAATTATGGAATCCACTCTTTACTCTAGCTTCTAAGTTCATTTTCATGTAAAATGGTATTGGAAGAAATGTGAGTTATAATGTAACTAAATTCATTTTACAAAAATGGCTGCCACTTTGAATAGGATATCTATTAGTAAGTTGCTGTTTATATATATTTCTGTTTTTAAATATTACATTTTAATTAATTATATACTTTTAAATACAAAATGAGGAATGTGCACAGTATGTACACAATTGCCATCATGAGGTAAATGGCACCAGAAATTCAGTTACTTTTTAGTTTTTTTACAGAAAGTGAAATACCAACAATTCTAATTGTTTGGGTAAAATTGATTTCAAATCAGAGGCTGACCTGAAAAAATTTGCTAGAGGAACATCTGAATGCAGAATTAGTAATGATAAAAGATGTAGTACCTATAAAATGGTTTGATAACAAAGTTGTCAATATGGCTTCAAATGTTGTTGCTATAGATCCAATTGACAAAGTGAGATGGAGCAAAAAATTTATTTCATATATAGGTACATTGACTGATCTACAATTATTAGACTGTACAACAAAAGCATAGACATGGATAAAAGTGATTTTTGGTTTGCAAAAAGTGGACTCCCATTATTTTTTATTATTTTAACACATTACCAAGTGTAATTCGTCCATAGAGACCTAAATAATGCAGAAAATTTTACAAAACACACTGACAATGAAAGTGACAATGACTAGTGTAAATGGTATATTTAAAAGATTACTAAAATAATGAAAATATACAGAAGGATTACATTTTTCATTTTTACATAAACGTTTTTGATCTTATCAAAGACTTTATCAGTGAAAAGTGAAAACCTAAAATCAAGCATTCCCACTACAATATAATCAATAAAAATGTTAAAATTTTGACTGTTGTTCTGAAAAAACATGTGATATAAATATTTAGCATTTGCAAATAGCTAAAAAGTTGTAAAAATCTTCGAATTACATATTACATGTTTTAAAAATTAAAATTAAAGCCGATGAAGTCAATGTTTTTAGATTTAACTGAAAGACAACATCTTTACTGGAAGGGCTGATCACGTATGAGTGTGACCAAAGATGCCAGCCAACTGAATCAGAGGATTATTAAGTGAAGGCAACTGTAAAATGACAAGATCTTCAAGACAAAAGTAATAGTTTATTTCTAGTCATTAATAAAAAATTCGATGCTCACTATGGGTATAATTGGTATTGAATTAAAATTTATTATTGGCGATTATTTATTATTATTTATTAAGGCGATTGTTTACGTTAAAATATGAAATTGAAAAGTTTTTGTTCTGTAAGGTTGTGCTTATAGGAAGAAACTGCAGGTCAATTAGAAAAATACAACAGAGATGCAAACTTGAAGGGCCGATCTCGCACACAGTGTGAAAAATGTCAACTTTATTTTACAATAAAAAAAAATAAAGCACTATAGTTTTTTACCCATCTGAACCTAGTGGTGGCAATTGCCATAGCTTCTTAGGGCAGTTGAAGAAAATATTTGAAAAACATACCAGGTATTATTTACACGTGTATGTTTACAAAAATATCAGGGCTGAAAGGGTTAATGGTGTTTCCAAGATATATAAGTGTAGTGTATTATGGGTCTATTCGAGCATCCCTCAAGGCTAACAAAAAGGATCAAGTTTCATATATATTCAGGGATTCTATAGTATTCACTGCCTTTCCTCGCTTAACCGTCTCCATCTGTCTCTGTTGTCCCATTCTCCATCATTTAGGCCTCTCTTACTCATGGCGTCGTCTACTTCGTTCCTCCAGGATCTTCGTGGTCGTCTTCTTTTCTTCCTTGTCTTCTGCAAGGGTACATTATATCCTGTGGTTCTTTCAATCAGGGTTTTAATGGTTTGCAGGTGAATAGTAGTACCAAACCCTTTTTTAAATCCAGCCTGCTCAACCAGTTGATATAAATCAATTTTTTGTGTAATGTGGTTGATTATTGTGCTCATCAACAATTTGTATAAGTGTGACAACAGACCTATAGGTCTTTAGTCTTAATATTAGTTATGTCCCCATATAGAAGCACACTTCATTGTCATTTTTTAGTCACGGCCAAAGTGAAACCGAGTTAAACAAGATTTTATTCCTTACTGTACCACTAGGAAGCGCTCATGTGAGCGCTATTACCATAGAGAAATTTCTAAAATATGAAAGAGTAGATCAACAAATGCAAGGCGTTTCGATAAAAAAAAAACAATTGCAATTGCTTTTCATACACCAAAGAATTATTTTTAATTATGAAGTATAATTTCGGATTTTTCAATTTAAAAAATAAGTAAGGCTCAATACACGCCACTCAGGAGCTCAACAAAGGAAGCTAAAAGAGGCGAAAATGGCTGCTAGGATATGCCAAATACTGTAGCAAATCCCAAGAAAACCAAATCGGCAACACCCGAGGATAAAAAGAGACTTCGGGAGAACAGACTAGGTCATAAAGCAACGTGACAAAAGTATTCAGAATGGCGGTAGCACACCATCCTCATACTCAACTAGATCGAGGTCAAGCAGATCTGATCATTAACAAACTGGAACATTCAGTTAATGAGGCTCCTATCGGAGATCAGAATGAACTTCTGCAGTTCCATAAAACATCGTTTAGCGAAGGGACCCTGTGGGAGTTAGTAAACTTAAATATAGTTAACTAAGCAATATTATGTCCAAGCGCCTAATGGTCCTCACCCGCGTCCCCGAAAAAGACCTTAAGACAGAAGACTGGTTATTGAACAATTGAAAAATCTGGAAGGACGCACAAACCCTATAGTGTATACGATTGACGAGGTCTTGTATAAAGTATTGAGGCCCCTCATTTCAAAGCTTATTATAAACTTGGAAAGGTATTCTTTAAGACAATCAGAGGCCTCGATGGCTTCAATCAGAATCCTACAAGCGAATTTCCAGCATAGTAGGGCAGCTTCGGCAGAATTTACTCTTGCCATGAGAAGACTTGCATTCAATGCAGCCTTAATACAAGAGCTCTGGGTTTACAAGGGCAAAATAAGAGGTCTATTGGGCATTGGTGGAGAGCTTACATATAGCCGATCTGCCGAAGTCCCAAGGACCTACACAATAGTTAAACCACATATTAAAATACTTCTATTGATGAATTTCTGTTTCAGAGATTTAACGACGAACTAAAGATGAAGATCCCGAACAACTACCATCAAGGGAATTTGAATAGCTAGTGAGAGTTTGCAGAAGACATGGACTGCAATTAATCCTTGGCTGTGATGCGAATGCGTACTATCTGACCAGCGGCAGTACAAGAACCAATGAAAGTGATGAGTTATTACTACGGTTTGTTATGGAATATGATTGAGGCATACTAAACGTAGGAAACAAACCAAATTTCATAACTTAACAATGAAAGGCGGTTATTGATTTAACAATTGCCGCAACTCACGTGGCTAGAACTGTTAAAAATGGCATGTTTTAGATGAGGTATCTTGTTCAGACCATCGACACATCTGTTTTAAAATAACAGGCAATGAGTCTTCCAAGGAAACTTGGTAATCCTCGTAAAACAAACTGGGAAGCATATGAAGCAGACCTGGAATATTACTTAGGTAGGATTAAAGGGGCGATAAGGCATACATTGAATCTAGAAATAAAAAATTTCAAGAGATTGTCATGTCAGCGTTTGAAGACAACGGTCCGGAGATAGTAAGGAATTTCAACAGGAAAGTACCCTAGTGTAATGACACTCTTGCAAATCAAAGGACAAAAGTAAGACGAAAATTTAATTTCTGCAAAAGATCGGGTGAGTGGGACTATTTTTATTTTAAAGTTGTAAAATTTTATTTATATGTATTAAAGAAAGAAAAACTAATACTGAAACTTAATATTGAAATTTTCATATCTTTTCAAAAATTTAACAATTTAATGTAAATAAAGATTTTATTGTGAAAAAAAATCGAAATTTTATGAACCAAGTTATATAGCCCCGTTCGTACTCCTTTCCCACTTCCCCTCAACTCTATCAAGTCAACGGCCTCGGTTTAAGTTTATGCAGTCTACCTCTACTGGAGTTTTTTGAAGTATAATATCCGTAACCAAATCGCCCGTTTGAAATGTCCTATTCGCTCCGTGCGTGACCATGGTAGGGATACATTGAAACGATGCCAGCGTGCGTAGCGGCGAAATATGACAAAATGGGAATATTGGACAAATATTTTTACGCATAAATTTTATCAAAAATGCGTGCAAATACACGTTGCGTATTTAATTGTGCTAATAATAGCAAAAATGGTGATTGTAGTTTTCATAGGTTCCCAAAAATTACATATAAATTAGAAAAAAGAAAAAGATGAATTCGTGCTATTAATATGAAAAAGTAAATATCACATAGTTTCATTTTTATGCAATTGAAATAGAAAAAATTTAAATAATTTACCTTGAATGATATTTCATAAGGCTACAAGCTAACTGCAGATGACTTTAGCTTTTATATCCTAACTTTTACTATTATTGTTTTTAATTATATGCTCTTTTGCGTGAAAAACTTGATTTGCCAGTACTAGATTTTTCCCTTTCTTTACCGTTTGGAGTTGAAAAGGTATATTATGATGAATTTTGAGAAACCCAGTTTTTAATACTACATTTATTTTGTACATAAACTTACAAAATATAGCTAAAAAACTAATTTATTAATAATTGTCAATTTCGCATGTATTTAACAATGTCAAACATATGTCATAAGTTTAACCTGAAAATTGGGATTCCCAAATTGTCAGATGAAGGCGGTAGGTGTCGCATCAGTCACGCACGGAGCGAATATACAGTTTGTCCCAAACCCTTTTTTCAGTGCGTCACTAATTTTGACGTCATATAGGATTTTAAGAATGTCGAGAATTATTGCATGACATTTTAGTTAAATCTGACAGTTGCAGGATCGTAATCGACTAAACGTGAAAAGGTTATTTTTTTTAATGCATAGCAGTTTGTCATAATTCTATTCTATTCTGTTCTATTTTATACATTCCATGGAAAGTGCTTAATTAGCTAAGATTTGTTTATGGATTTATTATTATTTATTACAAACACTAGGGAATTGGAAGGTTTGTTTATTTAAAATAACGCTTCCTCCTAGAATCTTTTAAGAGTTGACTGCAAGGTAAAAAAAATTACTGACAATTGCAAGGCATCAAAGTAAACATTCCTGCGATAAAATAATATCGATTTAAATCAGTCATATTTGGATAAGGAATTTTCTGATAAGTTTGTGTGGCAGCCAATAGTTTAATTTTGTGAAGAGTTGTCATTAAATAGTGGAAATAGTTTAAATAGTGAAGCAGTTGATTTTTGAGTTATTCTACCAGATTTGGTGTGCAAATGAAAGAAGGTTATAAAGTTTAGTTAAAAAAACAATATAAATAGTTTAAATAGTGAAGCAGTTGATTCTTGAGTTAATCTACCAGTTCCGATATCCAGATGAAATCGTGTTAATGGAGTTTAGTTAAAAAACAAGATACAGAATGTAAGTTTACCTTCTTTTTTATGAATAACAAAAATGAATATTATATTTCAAACAATCTATAATCCCATTCAGAATCTGATTCTTGAAAATCAATGATTACACTAGATATGTGGCTGGTATCAATTATATCCTACATTTCAAGAAAATGTCGTGGTTCTAAAAAGAACCGTTTTAATACATATAAATATCCATAAAGGTATTAGTTTAAGATATTTCCTCAATATCATTCCGGAATTCACAATCTGATTCGCGAGTGACAGAAACTGAAATAAAGATAACTCAGCCTCATTTTCTAATTGAAACTAATTTAATAATTTTAATATTAGTCTTTTTTCATTCTCGGTATATCTCGGAATATTTAAAATATTTTTATGACAATAAATACAGAATTTAATTTTCACTGTAGTTAAAATGTCTGAAAATACTAACCTGGAATGGCAATTATCATTTTATCAGTTGTTGTGAAAGTACTGTCACTGTCATTATCAAGATCATCTGTGACAAATTATATTTATATGCATAATTGATTGGATATCTATTTAGCATATTCTAAACTCCAACCAATTATACGTTCGTAAGTAGAATTCGCTTTAATATGCGAATACCCGTAAACGATACCTAATTTTCTAATTTCTATGTATAATAATAAGCGACTCACGTTTTTTTCTGTCACTTCTAGCTTAATGCGTTAGAGAGAATTCGAACAACTATGACGCACTGAAAAAAGGGTTTGGGACGGACCGTACACGTCTATATTCGTTACTGTTACTAACAACCAAATCACAAGCGCAGAACAGGTACAGCTAAAACTTTGTAAATATGATAAGAGATGGCGCCAATAGTATATAATAATGAATTTCAAATTTACAGATAATTTGAGGAAAAATAATGGTGGGCGTCCAAAGAAGTACAAAAGCGAAGAAGAAAGAATAGCTGCTAGACGAGAACGAGATCGACAACATCGGGCGAACCGATCTGCTGAGGAACGAGCAAAGGAATCAGAATATAAACGCCAATATCGAGCAAAAGCCAATGAAAATGAAGAAGAAGCTCGTGAAAGGCGTCAACGGATTGCCGAACTTCGCCGAAAGCAACGCGCAAACGCCAGCGCAGAAGAAGTATTGGCAAGACGCATGCGGGATAAAGAATACCGACTTCGACGGCTTGCAAATGAAAGTGAACAGCAAGCTCAAGCAAGACGAGCGCGAGCAGCCGAACGCCGGCGTCTACGGCGTGCAATTGAAAGTCAAGAGAAAGCTGAAGAAAGACGGAAGAGAACAACATAGAATAGAAGATAAGAATGACTCACTTCTTGGTATCAAGCTACATTACGGTTTCAACGTCCAATTTTATCCGGTTTTACCGTTATAAGCGAGGCTCTGCAAAAAGTGAGCATCCAATTTCTACTTGTGGGACAAGATGCCCTCTTGCCAGCGCTGGATAAAGCGGCGGACAAGCCGCCGACTGGCCACATGTGTTTTTAAATATAATAAATAGACCAAGGCGGATCTGTGATAAAATGTCTACATCTGGATGTGAGAGTTGGCATTCATATTTTTTGGAGAAAAAGTTATGTGATAACTTCAGCAATAATAATTGACTTATCAACACTCTCAAATAGGTCGGAAATATGAATAAAAAATTATTAAAAAATATTGTTTTTTTTTCTACTTTCCTTGCCTATAACGTTAAAATGATTTATTTTGGAGCAAAGTTATAACAAAATAAGATGGCTATAATTAAATTTTTTATAAGATAGCTGCAAAATAGAAATAAATACAAACAAGGGGTTGAGTTTACCGAAAGTACAAGCTGAATTTAGCCGCAAATGTCAAAACTATTTGGGTTTGGCCGTGCTGGAATGTTTTTATAAAGCATATGTTGTATGCTTCAAATATAAAGAGAGAAAGCTTTTAAAGAGTACATTTTGATTATACTATTTTATAAACTCTGCAATTTTTAATTTGCATGAAGCAATACCAAGTAAATATTTGTCTCTTTCGAGATTTATTGCAACTGCTGATGTGACGATTGCCAAATCTATCTCCTAATATATCAAAGTGTAATTGCCAAAAAAATTTCTAATAATTACCTGCAATTAATCTCCAAAAAAACAAATCTTACTCATCCTTGTTTTACATAAATAAAAAAATGTAGAATTTATAACATAATATAAACAAAATGTACTTTTCTAAAGCTTTATCTTTTTATATTTGAAGCATATAGCATCTACATTATAAAAACATGCCAACACTGCTATACCGAAATTTTTTGTTCCATGTTTGACATTTGCGGCTATAATCAGCTTGTACTTTCGGTAAATTCAACCATAACATGCCAATCCGAAATAACTTGTTCCATGGTTGACATTTGTGGCTATAAATAATCAACTTTCGTGAAAGTTTATGTTTACATCTTCTTGTCAGCTCTCATTGGCAATTATATTCTTCACTTTCATTGAAAATTTTTAATAATAATTATAAATTGACACGGACGGACTTAGCCACATTTCCAGTATTCAATACTAAGTTTGCAGGTTCAATAATAAATATACAGTGAACTATCCCAATATTAAGAAAATATAAATTAATACAAGTACACTTATTCTTGAAACAATCCAATGGAAGTAAAACAGGAACCAAGTGATCTTTCGAAAGAGTACATGATTCGACAAGATAATATTGAATTTTCTGTTATTGGATTTCCATATTCGGTGAAAAATGAGATATCAGAAGATTTATTTAAGGCAGATTTACCTAATACAGATACAAATAAGTATTTTGATGATAGCAACACTTTCGACAAAGTATGCATGGAAGTTGGTGTTGAAGATATTAAACTAGAGGAGCAGAATAAGACTGAAAAAATAAACGTCAAAAATGGTATGCTTTATAAATGTGTTTATTTTGATTATAGTATAGAATCAGAAACAATAATTTCTTATTCTGTGCCTACAGTATCCAACAAAAAATTATTGTTATGTTTGTTTATATTGTTTGGTCATAGCCGATATTTAAACTAAACAAATATTCATATGCAGTATTAAAATTGCATCAATTAAAACAAAACTTTATTTTTGAAATTTTATTGTCGTTTATAGATTAGTATTTAAGCACAAATGGAAAGTTCTTAATGAATATACATTCTCATTAATCATTATTCTTCTTTTTGCAATGACAGGAGTCAGCAAGAATAAGTTTATTTGAGCTATTAATCCTGAGTGGTAGATATTTTTGTATTGTATGTTTTCTACAATGATCTCTCAAAATATTCTCAAGCTGAGTGAATGGATTATACCTATTTTATAGCTACGCCGCAATGATTTAAAACTGTTATTGTCGCAGAACCATAACAATCAGGCTTTTACGTGAAGTAACAAAATCATCTCCAGAACAACTAATTTTACTTAATAGAGGGACAATAAAAATTACTATGGTTGATACGTTATTTAATTGAAGTGACCACAAATTATACATATTGCTTATGGCCTTGCTAAAAAATATTTTGTTTAATTGGTGATATTGAAAACATGGTTTCCAAAATTTTTATTCAATTTGTTTTTTAGGTATTGTAATAAAAGATGAAATTAAGGAAGAGTTTAATGAATATGGGCAAATACATATAGAGAATCAATTTGTTTTTGAAGACTTGAAGGATGAACCAGGAGGAGGATATTATTCAGGTAAGATAAATAAAAAGTCCTGAAAAAATGTGATTTGTGTAATATACTAGTTTATCTTGACCATATTTTTCAGTCATTGTTCACCCACTGCTGGACATAGGCCTCTTCCATTTGTTTTAATTTATGTGTATCCTTTCAGCAATTCTCATCCACAATGTTTGGCATCATCTGTGCACCTCTTCTGCTCTCTAACCACTTCTCTTATGCTCTTGGTTTCCAGTGTGTTATTTTCTGAAGGGTTATTTAGAGCAACATGCCTAACCCATTGCCACTTAGGCCTCATTGTATGTTCCACATCAGTAATTTTTATCTTTTAATTCCATATATTGCTCTTTGAGTTGTACTTTGTTCTAAAGTTTTATTTTTGTAAAGGTCATGGTCTCAAGTATATATAGACTCTAGTAAGATAACTTCTATACACTCTGCATGTTAGACACATTGGTACATCTTTTTTCTTCAAAATATAACCAACAATTCTAATCATTTGGGTAAAATTGATTTCAAGTCAGAGGCTGACCTAAAAGATTGGTAGAACATTTGAATGCTGAGTTCTGTTCATTAATACATTTTTGATCTTATCAAACCATTATCAGTGAAAACCTGAAAGTATTGCCATTTTAATATAATGAATAAAAAAGTTAAAATTTTGACTGTTGATCTGAAAAAACATTTGAAAATAGCCACTTAAAAGTTGTAAAATCTTCGAATTAAATATTAAATGCTTTAAAAATTAAAATTGAAGCAACATGAAGTCCATGTTTTTAGATTTAATTAAAAGCGAACAAATTTAACTAAAAAGGCCTTCAAGACAAAGTTATATTTTATTTCTAGTCATTAATAAAAAAATTCAATGCCCAATATGGAAACTAGTTGGTAATGAATTAAAATTTATTATTATTTTAATTTAAATTAAAGTAAATAAAGTGATTGTTTGTATGAAATTGAAAAGTTTTTGTGTGCAAGGTTGTGGTTATGGGAAGAAACCATAATTCATTTAGGCATTCATTATTGATAGTTATTGTTGATTGTATATTGATAGTATTGAGTATTTTGCATAATGATGTCACAGTATCAGATAAATTAAATTTATCCACAAATACCAGTAACTTAATTTGATTATATACAAGTATACTCAAACTTCCACACTTGCTAGATATAATAGAAAAAAGATAAAGCCTAAAAGGGGTTCTCTGACTAGGTTACTAGATGCTGCAACAAAATTTGTCAAGTTGTTTGTCTATATTATGAAATTGTGGAATTAATTGTAAAGGAAGGTTTAGAAAAGATGTATCATTGAATTTTTAAAGATATTGTATGCATATATTGAAATATATCAACGCAAGAAGCTACAATTGATTTGTGTAAAGTATAGTTTTGAATAAAAGCCAGTTAAAACTAAAAAGTGTTTTCAAATTAGCATTGTATTTTCAAGATTATCTAAATGTATAATATATGAGAGATTCAAATGTTTTAAATTATCAAATTGTTTATACTTAAAATTAGAATCCTAGATAAATAGTCAATTGATAAAGAGAGATAAAATAATATGAAGATCATCAATTTTAAATATTGTAGGAAGTGGTCTTACTGAGGTATCAGGAAGAACACCTGAAGTTGAAAGACCTTGTTCTCCTACTGAAATGCTTTTAACGACAAAACGGCAAAAACAATTTGTACCAGTTCAAGACGTAAGATTTGACAATATTGCTCATTGGCCCAACCTTGTTGATGGTCACGAACAGAGATGTAAACTTGAATTCTGCAAGGGTCGATCTCGCACACAGTGTGAAAAATGTCAAGTTTTCTTATGTTACAATAAAAAAAATAACTGTTTTAAAAAATATCATGTGAAATAAATTGTTTTAAGCAAACAACTCGCGTCATAGTTTTTTACCCATCTGAATCTCCTGAAGGCAATTGCCATAGCTTTCTAGGAAACTTTAATGGTTGAAGAAAATCAAGACAAAAGTATTTTACAAAAATTAACATTCATTTTCTAAAAATCAGACTGTCGTTAATAGTTCTTTCGAAAAAACGAAATTATATCAATTAGATTTAAGTGTATAACTAGCTTACCCCCAAATCAGACGAAGATGCTCCTGGAAAAATATTAATTTGGTTCACAAAATAATTATTTGATATTTTCAACTAACAAACTTTTCGATATGAATTAATTTTCAGTTGAAATTCTATTGGTATATAAATGAGGCAGTTAGATAATAATGAAGCAAAATATGTCCTCTTCAAAATAAGCTTTCTGAAATTAGCTATGACAATTTAAAATTTTATTTCACATCTCCATCCTTGGTACAGAAATAATGCACTTTTGACCACACGTCGATATGTTATAATGTTAAAATAATATATTTATTTATTGTAATATCCTTTGCAACACTTGCATCTCTAGTGGCGACTGCTGAAAGCTGATTAAATGTTGAAAAGTAGGCACACAAAAGATACATTGCATTTCCACTCCTTCTTACAAGCTCTCTTTACGTTTGAGCTTATGCACTCGCCCTCTACAGGAGTGTTTTGAAGTATATCATATCGTCCATTTGAAATGTCACATATATATGCGTCTATTTTCGTTGCTGTTACTAACAACAAAATTACAACCGCAGAACAGCTAAAGCTTTGTAAATATGATAACAGATGGCGCCAATAGTATATAATAATAAATTTCAAATTTACAGGTAATTCGAGGAAAAATATTGGTGGGCGCCCAAAGAAGTACCAAAACGAAGAAGAAAGAAAAGCTGCTAGCAAAGAACGAGCTAGACGACGTCGGGCAAACCAATCTGATGAGGATCGAGCAAAGGAGGCAACATATAAACGTCAATATCGAGCAAAAATCAAGAAAAATGAAGTAGAAGATCGTGCAAGGCGTCAACAGAATGCCGAGTCTCGCCGAAAGCAACGCGCCAAAGCCAGCACAGAACAAGTCATGGCAAGACGCATGCGGGATGCTGCAGCCCAGCGTCTACGGCGTGCAAATGAAAGTAAAGAGAAGGCTGAAGAAAGACGGAAGCGTGATGCTGAAGCACGTCGTTTGCGCCGGAGACTCATCATTAACTGTGAAGGTGAAACATACGAGAATGCTTACTGGTGAAGAACTCTGTGACGTGAGCACCATCGAATAGAAGATAAGAACGGCTCAATTATTGGTATCAAGCTACATTCCTGCTTCAAAAACCGTTTTTAACCAGAAACAGATACTGTGAGCCAGTAAGTCGAGAACTCAAGTGAAAACCTCCCATTGCACTCAGGGAGAGAACAACCGTGTGGGCCTGGGGAGACACCCAGAAGTTTATTATAGAAAAAACAGTCTCTAAAAAAGTTATCTCTAAAAAGCCGTCAGGCTTAGGAAGTTGACTTCCCCCTCCCCTTAGCCCATCCAACTCAATGGCAAGTATCCCGCATTCAGCGGTCTCGATAGCTTCTGAGGCTGCTACCCAATTCCATAGTGACTTAGATGAAATGAATCATCTCATCGAAGATCTCGTGGAGGATATCACTCAGTTAAAATACTTCGTTTAAAAAATCCCAAAGAAAATTAACCTTATAAATAATAAACAAAAAACACCCCAAAACAACATCGTAATCCCAAAAAAACATTCAAAAACCTCTTTCCCGATCCTCCTCCAGAAATATGAACACTCCACAAAATCCAGCACCTAGCAGACCCGTAAGGCGCAGCAGAAGCGCCTTCCTACTCCTGGAACTTCCATCCCATAAATCCTGCAAAAGAACAACGCGAATCATCCTCCCAGACCGGACATTCCCACACAATAAAGCGCAATAAAACCCTCCGCAGCACCAGAAGTGAAAATGCCTGAATTCACAGGCAATCCTATTCCATATATTTTACACTAATGATCTTCTCAAAAACTACGATTCATCCGTTGTAAAGCCACACCTAAAAATAACTTTCTTAAATAATAATGTTGCGATAAACACCGCCAAATATCAGACCAAAATTCGAAGCGAAAAGACGCTAGCATCCGACGCAACAAAACGACGAGGGATGGACAAAAAATTATCTAAGGAAGAGATTGAAGAACAACTGACAATATGTCAATTCCCGTTCACAAAAGTAGCGAGAATAGTTTCTAAGTAAACTAACATCCTTACAGCCCTAGTAAGAGTCTTTACGGACACACAAGTCCATTACGCTGAAGCGTTGTGAAACAACATCCGCATCAACGGAAAACGTCTCATACGAAATGCCACTATCAGAAACGGTAGCACCAATTCGCCCTAAATACTCACAAGTGTTGCTCAAGTGGACATCTCGCCTCTTGTCAAGCGAGAGCTCCACGATGCCCAAATTGCGGACAGGAGCACAGTTCCAATGTCTGCCCTAACGCCCAGAATCTTAAGTGCCCTAACTGCGGAGGCGACCATCCGGCACACTCCCATCGTTGTCCGACTAGAAGGGTAATTCCTGAAAGACCGGTACAAATACAACCTGTATTCCCTTACAGACAAAATCCACCCTATCCTCTCACGCAAGACATGCAGTACATCATCTACTATAACAATTTACTATTAATGAACCTCTTTCCGATGCAAAGGGGCAACAAACCTCAAACAATATTGTACAGGCGCTGTTCGGGCATATTGTTGACCCTATGTAGGCCGGAAACAATGTCGCATTTAGATTTGTACCAATTTATTAAACAATAAAAATTTATGAATTGTACAATAGGGACTATTAACTGCCAGGGTGTCAGTAGAAAACACCACCTGGTAAAACATCTCTACCAATATACAAATTTTATCAATAACTGACACCCTAATCAAACATATCCCATCCTTTACACACTACAATGTCTTCCACCGCCCAAGAGTCTAATATGTCGAGGGAACGGCATCATTGTAAAAGATAACATACACTGCTGCCCTTATATTATTCCTCTCAACGTCCCAAATATCGACTTCCTGACGGTTGATCTTCATGAATGACTTGTTAACAATTGTATTTGTAACTTCAGGGTAAATTCAATATATTGTAGACTAAATTGGTTTTTTTAATGTTCCTTTCGTCCGACTCATTAGAGACTAGGAGAATACAAGATTCTGCTTATGCATATCTCCGGCTTCAAAAGTAAGCCCATAACCACTGCTCTTTACAGAACCTGAGACCTAGGAGTCCTTACCCCTATCCCGAAAAGCCCTTATCTTCTCGTAAATCCACGAAGACGAACCAGTCAGTTCGGACCAGTGGGGCCAGTAAGCCTTGCAGCCGCTCGCAGGGTTAGCATCCTTTGAGGATCTATAAAGTATTCTAGTGGTGACAGCGTCGCCGCCTCTTTATGTATTACATCTGGTGACAGCCGAAAGTCTGTGTATTACATTTGGTGACGGCGTCTCGCCTCTGGTTATAACACAAGCTAATTGCACAATAATACATGTTCCTAGGTGAGGTTGTAGCCACAGCTATCTTCGACGTTTAAAAAAAATTACCAACAATATCTAAAAAGAATTGAGAGCGATAAGAAGTATTCACTTCAAAAATTTTGTGGCCCAACTGCATTATCTTTGTAAATACCCTTTAACAAATATTGTAAAAATAGTTTATTATTTCAGTTTTTTTGTATTTCCGTGAATTGTTTAGAATCAAGACCCAAACAAAGTGTCATCAACAAAAATCTGACACACTATCTTTTAATTTTTATTAAATATAAGTTTTGTTTTACATATAAATTACAAAGAAAATAATATGAGACATCAAAAAAATCTAATTAGAGCAGTTTGTGCAATAAAAACAACGATGGTTGGGATTTTAGCCACTTTTAAAGGTTGACACACAACTTACTTATTTTTACATTTTGTTAAAAAAAGTGGAATACAAACTGTTTATAATAAACAACAAACACTATAAGAACAATGATATTGACATAAATGCCACGCACTCACATTTAGAAATGCCAACCATCAACATTTAAGTGTAACATTTTCCAATCTACTCCAACTACGATTTTTTAGATGGCTCATTACAATTCGTAATGTTGTTATAGGGTCACTATTTGTACCAATATATTTACTATTTTCGTATAAAAGTGCGATACAAGTACATAATTAGATTTAGACATATAAAAAATTACATTCATTTCAATATTTTATCACAGATATTTTTGATATAACATGTATTCGACATAAGCTTTCTGCCACAAAATCGAAAAAAATAAACATGGATTAATATACAACTATTATATTTTATATCTCGTCAACGTGACTATATTCATTCCAGCGTTATATTGGCTCGAAAGATAAAACAATAAAAAGTATGTGTACAAAAAAAAAACAATGATCGGAATTTTAGGTTCCTCAGGCTTAGTCTCAAAAAAGTTGATAGGTCTCTGGTTGATGCAAATAATAAGAATAGTATTTTATAATAGATCAAGTTTGCAAAGATCATCAGTGGCATTTATTATGAGCAAATCCTTCATTCGCCCCTGTCTCTGGCAACTCTTCTCTATGTTCTAACTCCAATATATTTTAAATTATTCTCTAAGTTGTCTTGATACGTCAAAACGTTATGTTATTGTTGCGTTTGCAAAAATCGGTTAAGTAGATGGACTTCTACTTATAATTTCTAGGTTTCGTTGAGGACACTTGTTATAAAATTTTTTGTCTCTATCCTTATTATAATTCATTGTTTTTAGTTGGTCAACCTGTACATGGTCACTCAGTGAATGCAGTTGTGCTTCGATTTCTGATCAATGACGAAGTGTCTACGCACTTGGATAACGAAGAGATATGCGCCCAGTTGTGTTTATTTTTAACTCAACAAGTTTTAACCATATACAGTCAAAATCGTTTACAACGACACCGGCTATAACGTACAATCGGATATAACAAACAAAATAGTTGGTCCCATAAAATGACATACAAAAAACGCATTTATATTGCTTATAATGAACAAATCGGTTAGAGCAAACGTATTTCTTGGAACACTAGTAGTTAAAATATTGGTTACAGCGTACATCTTAATAAATAAGTTTAAAAGTGGACATTGTAGTGTTGTATTTCTCACAGGTATTACCGATATTTAATACCACGAAATAAGAAGTAAGGATTTATTAATTTATGGTTATAGTACATCCGGACAGGCATCTACTGTCCTTTAGACAGTTAGACCTCCCAAGACGGGTCCATTGTATTACAAAATTTTGTTTATACATATTTCACCATTTGGCCTAAGCCAAGAGTTTCTGAATTTGAATTCAGTTGTGTCTAGCCTTCATTGAAAAAATGTCACGGAAACAATTTACTATTGAGGAACAGTTTGGAATAATTTGCCGAGTCGATTCCGGTGATTCCGCGAGTTTGATTGCCCGGGAATTTAAAACGTCACGCTCGACAATTGCTGGAATAATGAAAAGGCGAGAGAAAATTATTAAGCAATTTAATAAGTGTGAAAAAGGAAAACGCGTTCGGTCATCAAATTACAGTGACATTGAAAGTGCTTTGCTCGATTGGTTTAAACAACAACGCGCAAACAATGTACCCGTGAGTGGGCCGATGCTTCAGGTAAAGGCTGATGCTTTCGCTGTGATTTTGAAGAAGAATTTTAAGTGTAATGCTTCCTGGGTTCAACGTTTTCGAGCTCGCCACAATATTGTCCATGGAACAATTTCAGGTGGGTCAGCAGTTGTTGACAGATCAATTATAAATGACTGGGTTGAAAATGTGTGGCCTACACTCAGGTCCGACTATAGCGATGATGAAATTTTTAATGCTGACGAGATGGGGTTATTTTTTAGACTGACACCTGATCACACGTTAAAGTTTAAAGGCGAGAAATGTTCCGGTGGTAAACTCTCAAAAGAGCGTGTTACAGTTCTTGTTGCAGCCAACATGTCCGGTTCCATAAAAAGGAAGCTTTTGGTGATAGGAAAAAGTAAAATGCCGCGCTGTTTTACAAACGTGAAAAATCTCCCTGTTGATTATGATTTGAATAAAAAAGCCTGGATGACGTCAGCTATTTTTGAAAAGACTTTACTAAGATGGGACAGTGAACTTTTACAACAAAAGAAACACATAATTTTAATTGTCGACAACTGTCCTTCCCACCCCCCAGTTGACAGGTTAAAACAAATTAAA